ACAAAAGAAAAAAACTAGTTAGATCATAAATTGAAAAACTCATTAAATTTTAGTCATATCATAGTAAATTTCCCTAACTAAAATGTGGAATGTGGTAAAGGTGAAAAATATTAATTATACAAGGTATTCAGATATGAAGTGGTCACTAACATATACGGAGTACATTACGATGTGACTTTAACCTTACTGACAGCGGGACTGCTTGAGGTAATAGGGCAGCGGTAAGGCTTTGGCAGCTGCTGGATGTGGTTGGGCATCAATTTCATTGTTAATCATACTAGTAATAAATTAAGGTAGATTCTACGGTACCCAAAAGGTACCGTACCTTTGTCCACATGAACCAATCAGAATGTTGCAGTTGAATTATTTAAATCTAAATTAAAATACCTATGTGGACCAATCAAGTGAATGGTAGGTACGGTACCCCATTTTTTAAATGGGTACCGGAGTTCTCACCATAAATTAAAGGTGAGAACTCTGGTAGATTCTATGGTACCTTTAAGGTATCATATATTTGTCCACATGGATCAATCAGAATGATGCAACCGAATTATTTAAATCTAAATTAAAAATGATATACTAATGTGGACCAATCAAGTGAATGATAGATACGGTACCTCATTTTTTAAATGGGTACCGGAGTTCTCATCTTTAAAAAATGGGGTATCCTACCTACCATTCACTTGATTGGTCCAATTAAGTTTATCAATTTTAATTTAGAGTTAAATAATTCAAATGCAACATTCTAATTGGTCCATGTGGACAAATGTATGATACCTTTTGAATAACATAGAATCTACCTAAACTAAATACGGAGTATCATTTTAAAATGATAAATAGGCGTACTCCTTCCCACTACAACAAAGTACTCCCTCCGTCCCTTATAACTTTGTCAACTTTCCTTTTTTGGTTGTCTAAAAAACTTAGCCACTTTCCATTTTAATCAATCAATTTGTGGCTCTTGTTATTTCTCTCTCCTCTGCACAAATCTCTACCACACAGTTTTTACTTTATTATTCTACGTGCCGGTCAAACTTGGCAATCCTTTTAAAGATGGAGGGAGTATAACTTTTGTATCATATGCAAAATATTGTTATAGGTGTTAAAAATGTCACAATATATCAAATATAACATTTTGAGTATGCTGCATCTGACGAGTGTTACAACTTACAATAGATGTATTGTACTCCGTAGCAATTTATCATTTTATCATAACATTTATTGGTACAATAATGTTACAATAGATATAATACTGTAGCAATCTCTAGGGTGCTACATAATGGATGCTACAATAGATCAGATACCTTTTGTACTAGTGCCATTAGGTATAACTTTGTCAACCTTCTTTTTTAACTGTCTCTCTATTTTTGCCACTTTTTTAGGAATAAATGATTTGTGGTTTTTTAATGATCTCTCCTCTACAAAAAGCTTAATGTCACAATTTAACTTTATTATTTTATGTGCATGTAAACTTTGGTAAAGTTTTGAGGGAAAGAGTATTATATCAAGTATTATATCAAGTATTTATATAATATTTTTTAGAAATACATATTTATCGAATTGATAACATAAATACTCCGTAATACTATAGCCTATAGGTGCTATTTTTTCACTTAAATACTGAGTGTATTTCTAAAGTAATACGTAGTAGTGGTTGAGAGAGACGACGTACACTCGACCACCTTTGTGTTTAAGAGAGATTGTACGTCTCGTACAAATGTTCTCGATTCATATCAATAGTTTCTGAAGATACATACACATGCACTTCGATCTGTCTACACCAGTAATTAAACAACAAACTCTAAACTGCAGCAGCAAGCTGGCCTTGGATATATGCTTTGGACGTAGTCCACCACTCACTCAACAAATCTTCCAAAGATTTGGATTCAACTTGACGTAGTCACTTGTGTGAGCTATGAAGACGGAGGTAGTGATCCGGTCTACAGTCCTGAGTTTATAACTGTGACAACTCTGGTACCCATTTAAGAAATGGGGGTACCGTACCTATCATCTCCATGATTGGTCCAAATCATTATATCATTTTTAATTTAAATAATTCAACTGCAATATTTTGATTGGTCCATGTGGACAAATGTATGATATCTAAGGGTACCATAGAATCTACCATTTATGAATGGACAAATTAGTACGTATGTCGCGTAACCTAGGTTAGTTATCCTAGTATTTTAGTTCAATCAACAATCATACAAATAATTTCCATCATTTGCAATGGAGCTAAAGACTCGCTATTTTTTGGTTTGAAAATATGATGAAATAGAAAAAATTCCACTTATGGTCCCATGACTATTATGCGGCTTATGCCAGTTCCACATTTTGTACCTAACCTTCAACTTCGCCAAATTTTGTCCTTTTGTTTTCGTTCCTTACCAATCGTCGTCCTTCTGGCGAAATCTTCGACGAAATTAAAACATTTGCATTTAAAACGGCAATGTTTAAGGATATTTTAGCAATTTAAGTTTTAAAAACGACTAATTGCCACCTAAGCTTCTCTCCCTCCACCATAGACCCTGAAATCTCTTGCCCATTTCCCTTACAGCTGATCTTTGAGCCCTAGTATGTAAGCTCAGAATGAGGACACGAACTACTGGAGTGCCTACAATTGGAATGGGGCGTAGACCACACGAAGAAGGGACGAGTACACCACCCGTTGAAGACAACCAGAAAGATATGAACTCTGTCCTTCCAAATTTGGTGAACTTATTAGGTACAAATGATGTGGGTAGATGTTTTGTGAACTGGTGAAGATAACCAGAAAGGTTTTTTATGCTTTTGGAGAAGGTAGAGTAGGGTTTATCTATGTCAGATTCTCTTTTCCCTTTCTTTGGATTTGACAAATGGGACCATATTCTTTTTCCTTTTTAACTTTATGTAATGGTTTGTGTGTGCCTATTGTACTCCATTCAAACAACATATGTGAGTGCTTCAATGCAGTGATTTTAGAAGCAAGACAAGAGGCCATTATGGTGTGCTTTGAATCCATAAGAAAATTGTTGTCAACAAAAATCTTTACCAGTAAGGAAAAGGCAAAAGAAATGGACCTCTAAGTTGTGCCCAAGAATAGTTAAAAAGATACAAGAAATTGAGAAGTTTGCAGCAGGTTTGATAGGGTATCAGTGTGGTGACAATGAGTTTGAGATTACTGGGATGAGTGGTACCCAACATGCTGTAAATTTGGAGAAGAAAATGTGCACTTGCAGGTTGTGGGACCTAACTGGCATTCCTTGCAAGCATGCCATTTGTGCTATTTGGTTGAAGTTTGGAAAAGATCATGTAGATGATTATGTCCACCCATGTTACACTACGGAAATGTACTTGAACATATATGGTGGGTGATGTGAGTTTTCTCGCACTTAAAAAATGATGTAGTAAAGTGGTTGAAAGTACGAGTATCGTCTCCACAGGGATGGACAAAGGGGAATCAAGAATGAATTAAATTCAGCGATTAAAGAGAAAATAAAATAAAATAAAATGCAATTACGCGAGATTGGGTGATTTAATATATTTAACTAATGCGAATGAGCGAATAAAAATAAAGCTTGGGTTCTTTCTAATTAACGACGAAGGGAACAATGATTGATTCCGGGGTAACCAGATTTCTAGCAGATCAGACTTAATTACATGAAATTAATTTAATTCAACCTAGCTAATCATTACTAAGTTCTTACCGCTCTCGCGGCGTAGAGTACAATAATTTAGGGGACCAGACTGATCTCTCATGCGACAGGATCCTAAATTATTGCCAAGACGAGCGAGCTTACGGCCCCTTAATCGCTACTAATCTCTTAGTGAACGATTAAGTGTGTGTGAATGTGTCCTAGAATAAACTAGATCTCTCTTAATTTGTTCGACAAGCAATTGTAATTCTAGCGGTCATTCTAGGTTACAAAAGATATCAGTTAAATTATTCAAACACAAATTAAACGGCATTCATGCAATTAAACCATCAAGAATCTAGCCATACATCATGATCAACTCCTTCATCAACCCCAAATCCCTAATTAAAACTACTCGCAATTCATAATTGAAGAATCAACAGAATTGGGAAGAATAGAATTAATTGTCATTAATTAAAAAGATGAACTTACAAATAATCTCAGGGTTCTTGAAGAAAATAGCGGAAAAACGATGTTAAATTCGTCCCTAGGTCTCTCCGTAATATTCGCAACCCTTAAATGGGAGAAGGGAGGCCTTATTTATAGAAAAAGATGAGTTTGTGTTGAATTAGGACTAAAAACGGGGCCAGGCACGGCGTGCCAGTGGCCAGGCACGACCGTGCCTACGGAGCAAGCCCGTACTTTCGCGTCTCGGGTCCAGACACGGAGTGCCTCACTGCCAGGTATGGCGTGCCTGACTATTCCAGAGGTCCGGTACAAGTTTTTTCATCAGGCACGACCGTGCCTAATAAGGGTCAGGCACGGCGTGCCTGGCATTCCAGCGACCAGGTGCCAAATTACACCGCAGGCACGGCGTGCCTAAGGGCCAGGCACGGCATGCTTTCCCTTTTCTTATTCAAATCTTGTCTTTTCTTGCTCCAAATGCTCCCGGATGCTTCTTTGATCAATCCAAAGGCCGTTTTTTTCATCAATTCTTCGTCGTGAACCTCCCGGTGGCCTCCAAAACTCTCAAATCTCTCTCGAATGCTCTCCAACTCTTCTTGATTGCTTCTCAAACACCGGTGTCGGACTCTAATTTCTTGATTTTGACTCCAAACGAAACAAAAGTCGAACCAACATCTGGTAAACACAACTTGAGCCAAAATTTAGACTTGCAACACCTTAAAGCTAGGAAAACCATCAAAAGCTGATCCTAGCACGCATCAAATGTGTTTCGAAATACGAACTTATCAGTGGGTCAATAAAGCCAATGGCGGGTCCAGATGAGTGGCCTATTTGTGAAAGAACTCCTCCACTACCACTTGTGTACAATGCGAGACCTGGATGACCAAGGAGGCTCAGGAGAAAATCAGTTGTTGATGCAGTGCTCAGTACAGATGGAGTGAAGGTTTCAAGAACACACTTTAAGTTGCATTGCTAAAAGTTTAAGAAAGAGGACCATAATAGAAGGAGGTGTCCAGATGGTCCTAATAGCAAAGAGAAACTGGTAAAATAACTCATATTATATACATTAACATGCTTTTGGATGTATTTCTTTTTCAAAAGCACTCAGTATGCACACACTTTTTATTTGTATAACCACATACATGTTGTTGTTTTCTTTTGTACACTTAGTTGCAACTTAGGAAAAGAAAAAGAAAATCTGCACCAAGGCAGGTTGTGAATCAAGGGCATTCCGTATACTAGTACTAAACACCACACTATTAATTACAGAGTATGTTTTTTTTTTTCAAAAATATTAATTACAGAGTGTGTTGAAATCTAATTTAAGGAGTGTTTGGGATTACTTAAAAAAAGCGCTTTTCAGCTTTTGGCTTAAAAAAAGTTGAAAAGGGTGTTTTCAAATGACAACTTCTGTTTAAATTAATCACTTAAAAGCTAAAAGCTGGAAGCAGGTAGAAGGGTGCTTTAAACTGCTTCTCACTTTTTCTATTATACAAAAGTACTTATTTTACCAAACACTACCAACTTTTACTTTTTCAGAACCACTTTTTTATCAAACACTACCAACTTTTACTATTAATCACTTTTCCCAAAATCACTTTAAAAAATCACTTTTTTAAAGTTGAAGCAATTGCAAACACTCCCTTAATTTACTCCCTCTAACTAAAAGGGGTCGACCAATTTTTGGGTTCCTCGGGGGTAGGGACCTTTTCTGTTTAAAAATTACTAGCTTATTCAGACCAACAGTTTTAGGCTTTTAGCATGCGCAAGAAGAAAGGGAACGATGAGCTGGCCGGCATGCAATCCATTTTGCATGGCTATTGTTGTTATCCATTTCATTTTTATTAGGGCTATACATTACAAAAGGATGACACCCCATCCCTGAAGACCCTCAACATCGACCGGACAGTATGATGGGAGGATGTAAATTGCACTAGAATCACAATCTGACAGATAGTACAATTGCAAGTTGATTGTGATTAAATTAAAATTTACTTGTCTAGGGGCTTTATAAGCAGATTTATGAGTGAGTACCATTATAAACTCATGAAATAATTATAGATATATTCATGACTAAAATAAATATTATCTACAAAAATGTGACCAGGGATTAATGTAGTAATGAAATCATAATAACTCGTGTTCAATTTTTAAACTTAAATAAGTAAATAACTCTGACACTATATTCTAGTAACCACGTAGCACGGCTGCACGGAGGCTCTCGAGAAATAGTACGTTTTCGTTTCAGAAATCCTATGAAACTCTCTAAACAAGCTTTTTTTGAACAAAAGTTGACATTTTCCGTTTCCCAATTCCTCATGATTTTCGCGTTTCTGTGCAACATAGGTAGTAAATATTAATCATGTTTGTATAAATAAATTTTATTTTAGTAATATTTTAAAAAAAAACCTAAACTGAATTCAAGAATTATAAGAATGCAAATCCTAACATATGGAATTATAGATAAAACTAATTTAATCTTAAAATCCCAAAATAGTGAAAAGAAACAAAGCTAGAAAGCTTAGGGTGTGGAAGTAGCCAACAATGCACTGCACGCACTCTAATCGTGTTAATTAATTAACTTAGGAGGTCAACGCTGAGTTGGTGCTTTTACAGACACTGTAGATAGAACTGAAGCTATAATCTGGTAGCTATAAAAAGAGAACCATTGGTAGGTCTAGGTTAAGCGGGACTGCACCACTATATATCAACCCACCCACCTGTTCATGTTTCTGTGCATTCATCCTATTAATTTGTGTAAAAATTAATCCGGACAGTAAATACAGTAACCAATCGGGATAATCAAACGCGTTTGAGAAATGCTATATGTACACAGCATTCTACACATCATTCTACACATCATAAAAAAGCCCCACCCCCTCCCTTTTCTAACCCATTTAACCCCCCACCACCCTCTCTCCTCTATTTCAAACGTAGGCCTCTGCGCATCAAACGAACTGTCTGTGCCATTATTTTCGTTTGTCTGTGAGCTCTTTCTTCTCTACACCGGTGGTCTCCTCCGTCACCGGTGGTGATCGAGTGTGTATGGCGGCGACGACGAACGCCATGGAAGTTAACAGACCCGACGGCGACGACGAAGCGGGCCTGGGGTGGACATGGGAGGATATATTCGGCCCGAGTCCCGCTAACACGCCTGAGGTGCTGGAAGAGCGTGCAGTATCGCTGGAGGGAGGGATGCAAGATGATGAAGACACGACGGAGAATATACGGCGGAGGGAAGGAGTTGAAGACACTCTGGCTGCCATGCAACGCGATGAAGGGGCACCGGATGGTAACACTGTGAAGGCTGAGCAAGGTAGGTGATTATGTAGTGTCCTTTCTTCATGGTTCACAAAGCACAAACAAATAATATTGTCTGTTTTTGTATGTAGACAATTACAAATGTATTATTGAATTTGGGAACATTATGAAGTTCATAGTCTTCTTTTAGAATGTGAGTATAATACGTAGAGCGTTTTTAGAATGTCATTATAATACTATTTGGTTTGTCTGTATTTCATTTTATAACGTCTCTATTTAATATTATTTTATTCATACGTTCTTGTAATTTGTTTGATCATTATTTGAACTGGTCTGTATTTCATTTGATACTGTCTGCATTGTATAATATTTTATTCATTTGTTCTTGTAATTTGTTTGATCATTATTTGAACTTGTCTGTATTTCATTTCATACTGTCTGCATTGTATAATATTTTATTCATATGTTCTTGTAATTTCTTTGATCATTATTTGAACTTGTCTGTATTTCATTTCATACTGTCTGCATTCTATAATATTTTATTCATATGTTCTTGTAATATGGTTGATCATTATTTGAACTTGTCTGTATTTCATTTCATACTGTCTGCATTCTATAATATTTTATTCATTTGTTCTTGTAATTTGTTTGATCATTATTTGAACTTGTTTGTATTTCATTTCATACTGTCTGCATTCTATAATATTTCATTCATATGTTCTTGTAATTTCTTTTATCATTATTTGAACTTGTCCAGTATTTCATTTCATACTGTCTGCATTCTATCATATTTTATTCATATGTTGTAATTTCTTTGATCATTATTTGAAGTTGTCTGTATTTCATTTGATACTGTCTGCATTCTATAATCTTTTATTCATTTGTCTGTATAGTATTGATGAATAATGTCTGTATTTATATAAATTAGTCTATGTATACATATTCATTAGTCTGTGTATGAATTCACAGATGCATATGCACAGGAAGAAGAGCAAGAAGATGTTATTGTGATTCGTTTCAAGGGGCCTCTAGAAAAGGGAAAATCAAAGGCAAAGGTATGATGCTTTGAACTTTAATTGTTATTGTACAGACATTATTTATGCCTCCACAGACATTGGAAATATACGCACAGACATTAATATCATAGCTGTTATTAATTTTGTTTCCAGCCAACTGCCCAAAAAAACGAACCACAAAGGACATTGCCGGACAGGAGTACGCTGGAGAGGGGTTCACGGGACAGCCGTACACTGGAGAGGGCTACGTTGGAGAGGGGTACCATGGTCAATATGATTATGGTGCAGTCAACAATAGTATGACACTACAATATCAAGACGGTTTAGATTTAAATCTCACTCTGTTTTGAGACATGTACTTATTTCAGGCAAGTGCGCCAAGACGGTTTAGATTTGAATCTTTCTCTCTTTTGAAGTGTTGTCTACATTGGTACCGTCTGTATTTATGTAATTATATACTCCTATGTAGTTCTATAATATTTTGTGGAGACATATGTTAAATGTTAAACGTTTGTATAATATTGTGTGGAGACATATGTTAAATGTTAATTCCTAAATGTTTGTATGCAGATATTTAGTCCATTAAACCGTCTGTCTTTGAATCGTAATGATTCCATGTGCCCCAAAAAATGTAGACTATTTTGTTGCCCCATGAAGTTGACACCACACGCAAAAATATATTGCAAAAATGTATTCTTATATATCATTGTTTTGTTGTAAATCATGCTACAAGTGGTAAAACATATAGCTTTGCCAAGACAAAAACAAAAGGCAAGCACATTGTAGTCATATGTTTCATTCTTAACTAGCAGCATCATCTGTTTCAAAGTCAGACATTCTGAAAGCAGCTCCAATGCTTCATCGAAGCAAGACCGAACAGAATATTGCGCGGGGAAGTAGTACTTTAAAGGAATTTGCAGGTCCATCCTGAAAATATTTATACAGACAAGTGTGATGTTCACAAAAATTTAAGAAGACATGATACGGACATCTTATGTACACGATACAGACACAGACAACTTTTAACAACAATTTCAAATACACAGACAACTCCAAAATCAATTTTTACACTACATGTGGTTCAAACACTAAGATGTTAACTCAATCATACAGACAACTCGATAAACAATTTATAAAAAACAATATTCATCCTAAAAATATGCATACAGACAGGTCTAGGGTTCACAACAGTATACAAATAAACCATACAGACAACTAAGCAAAAGTCATACAGACAGGTGTGGAGTTCAAAAAAATATACAAATAAACCATACAGACATCTTAACAAAAGTCATACAGATTAGGGCTGGGCACGGGCCGGGTCGGGGCGGGTAATGCAAAATAAAATGGAACCGCCGGTTCCATTATACGGTCCGGTCCGGTCCGGGTATTGCAATTTTCAAAACAGGAACCGGACCTTACCCGGCCCGTTTGAAACGGGTCGGTCCGGGCCGGGTTTTTCGGTTCCTATTTTCCATATCTTAATAGTAAAAACTTACAAAGTTACAACATTCAATAATAATAATAATAATAATAATAATAATAATATAGTACATTGACAAGTTTCAAAATAACCACATAGTGGTGCACATCTAACACAAGTGACAAGTTCAATACTCCATAACTTCATATATTTAACTATCTAAGTTCCAAACAATTAAACAAGTTTAAAAAATCAGCAACATAGCCACTGTTACATTCCTAAATGACAATACCAAAATAACAACATCACAACTCATATTCATTAGTAGCTTAAAAGAACTTCAAAACTGAAAAATAGTGAATTATAGATACATCAAAAGCCTTAATGATTCCCAGGACAAACAATATAACTCCCAGGGCTACTCCCAGACCTGAAAAAGCATGTAATGTGAAGTTTGTTAAATTAGTAATAATCAGACTTCAGTTCACAGGTTTATGAAACTAGTAAAACTAGTCAATCAACGTTCAAGAGCTACATGACTTTGATGATTACTAATTTATCAAACAAATCAAGTGATGATGTTCAAGACATAGTGATCTTCTCACCCTGTGATAGTGTAGTTAATCACTGATACATTTCGAGCCAGCACACACAGCTTGCAAATAAATAACTAGAATAATCATTCTAAGATCAAAATCTAAAGAAGATAGCTAAGACAGGGGGATTCGTCAATAAAACCAGTGATATTCGCATACTGAGATCAAACCCCTGATACACTTTCTGATGAAGGCCAGCTGGCAAGACTCATCTGAAGAAAGATATGTGCATTAAATACACACTTGCAAAGGATCAAAGTCATCAAACTACCAAAGTACTTAAGCATGACAATAAGCAACAATATGACATTGTTATTAACTTGTCCTGAAATACATACATATGCATTGCTGTAGTGATGGTGCATGATGACTGAATAAATTTAACTTGTAAAAAACCAACAAGAGAAACTATATATTTCATATTTGTACAACTACATACTGCACAAAGTAAAGCAATAGCGAACATATCAAATTTGCTTGATTTGTTAACCGAATTATATATGTATTCAGCGAAGTAAAATTTTGTGACTAATAATAACGGGCTTCACTTTAATATAGACTACTGGTGGAAGTCAACTAGCATGTAGTCAGTACATTACAGAATATATATAATTATGTATAGTATGTCCAAACACTATGAAACTAAATGCCAATTTAAAAAATCCAAAAAAGCACAAAATTACCAAAACTCACCACAACTAGTGACTTCACCTTCACAAACATATTCCCTCCAGAAAGGCAGAAAATCCAGAAATTACTCCTGCAAATAATGACGTATTAGAAGCAAATTATTTATATCTAACATATTTATTTTAAAATCATACCATGATTTTCTTTCCTTTATCCATTTCTGTTGTTTGAGGAACTGCAGCTTCACTTTGTATGGTTGAACTTTCTGTGGTGGTCAATATCGCCCTTCTTTGTTTATATTCTAGCATAAACAACAAAACTGTGTTAATTATAAAAACAATTAATGTAAAAACTGGCTATTAAATTATACACAAATATATTTACCTTCTTCACACTCTTGATAGAATTCAAGTTCCATTGGACTTGCTTCATACTCAATGTTGGAAATCGGGTCACTTCTTAACCAATTTTGGAGGCATATTAATGACTCCACTGTTTGAGGAAGGAGAGATGATCTAAAAGGATCAATTACTCTTTTTCCTGCACTAAAAGCACTCTCGCTAGCTACCGTTGACACTTGAATTGGCAACACATCTTTTGCTATCATAGCAAGTGTGGGATATGCATTTCTTCCTTTCAACTTCCACCATCTCAAAACATCAAATGTAGAGCCATGTGGTGTTTTTTCAAGAGTGTCAAGGAGATACCTATCTACCTCATGCCCTAGCGCAATATCTCCGGTGTCTTCTAGTTCTTTCTCCCAATCATCCATCATTTGACTATATATCACGGGACTTTCTGTTGCAACAGTGGAGGACAGTTTCTTTGCCCTTGAACAAGAATTGGTTGTTGCACTATCTTCTTTACCCTTATGTTGTGCTTGTGAACCGAAAGCTTGTTCAGCATATTCATCACACATTGTCTTCAACAGTGTCTTCACCTCCTCACTTTTTTGTGAAATCTCTTTTTCGGGAAGCTGCAATTGTTTTTTACACAAGTGCATATAGTGCCTCAACTTGAACCTTGGATCTAAGACAAGGGAAACTACAAATATTTGATTCAAGGACGCAATGGAACCAAAATACTTTTGATATTTGGCTCTCATGTTAACTGCCATGAGATGTAGCACATGGGCTACACTGTCTCCCGTTTGCATACATTCAGGTACAAAGAGGCTCTCAATTTCATTCTCCACGGTAATAACATCATGAACCACAGTATTAGACGTAGGATACTTACTTGCACTAACTTTCAAAGTTACAAGATAAAATGCCTTCAAGAAATTCACAAACACTTCTGCCTTATCCCAATCTTCCTCTTTTGGTGGGCCAGCCCTCCCTGTACCTGCAACTTCTTCCCCATCTTCATTTATCACTTTTTCTCCAAAGTAAGAAGAGTATATACGAGAATCATCATCTTCGTTCATTCTTTCGAAAGCTTTTTTAAACTTAATACAAGATTCTAGCATCATGTATGTGCTATTCCACCTAGTAGGTACATCCATAACAACTAGACCCCTACTATCCAACTTCTCATTCTCCAAACATTTTTTGAAGTAAGAGAACCTTCGTGGACTTGATCTCACAAAGCGCACAGCATTTCTAAGAGCCTCCACACTTGAATCTAGTTTTTTCAACCCATCTTTCACAACTAAGTTTACGATATGAGCTAAACATCTCACATGCATAAACTTGCCATTCATAATTAGTCGGGTATTTGGCCAACTTTGCATTTTTCGAATGACATATTCAATTGCAACCTTATTAGCCGAAGCATTATCCACTGAGATACACATGACATTTTCAATCCCCCACTCAATCAGGCAACTCTCTATCATCTTGCCAATTTCTTTGCCTTCATGACTTGATATCAAACAAAACTTCAGAATCCTTTTGTGCATAACCCACTCATCATCCACAAAATGACCTGTGAGGACCATGTAGTTCAAGTTTTGCACACTCGTCCAAGTATCGGTAGTCAAACTCACTCTATGCTTATGTATTTCCCTTTTCAATTGATCTTTCATCGTATCATACATAGCAAATATATTCCTGACAATTGTCCTTCGAGATGGAACATGCAGTTTAGGCTGAACTTTACACATCATCCGCCTAAACCCTTCACTTTCAACACAACTGAATGATACCTCATCGATCACAATATACTCCACAATACCTTCTACAGCCTCGTCTTGGCTCCACCCTTTAGCAACAATCATATTCTGAGCATTTCCTGAAGGTCCAGTACTACATAAAACCTTTTGTAAGTCATCGGTTGGCTGATATGACTTGCAATGTTTATTGATATGTTTTATGTAAGTACTCGTTCCCCCACCACTTGTATCACATGCAAAAAGGGACGCACAGTGATTACATTTAGCCTTCAACACTTGTTTTTCCACCATCACTATATTTCCATCTTTCTCTTCTGGCTGCATTTCTGTTACGGTGCATTTAGTAAAATGCTCCCAAACCCAAGATCTCTCTGATGAGGATTTGTCAAGTGTAGCTACTATAGTGGGCTGTTTTGCCTTTGGAACGGGGGGTGCTTTTCTTTTTCTGGAGGATGATGATCTTGGGATAACCGCCTTGGATTTTGAATGCGGGAGTTGTGTTTGAACTGGTGGTTGTGAAGGATGCAACTGAGGTGATGTGGCAGTAGAAGACGCTCCCTTCATACTAGACGCACCATGACTTTGAGATTCAGGCATTCCTTATAACAAAAAAGATCAGGAGTTACAGAAAACTTATTAAATAAAGTTAAACAAACTACTTTTAACAGAAAGATTCATGCTAAACGATAAAATATTAAAATGACAATCTTCATGTACTGTTTTGGTCATTTCATAAAAATAATCAGTTTCAAACACCATTTTTCTGAACACTCGAAACTCGAAAAGTGATTAGC